GCCTTCAGCACCGGCCGCGGCGGGCCTCAGTCCTCAGTCCGCCGGGAACTAGCGCGCGCAGCAGAGCCCACGGCCGCTTCCGGCTTCACCCACCTGCCGCTTCCGGTCGCGCCTACCGTCTCGTGCACACTGGTGCTGGGCAAAGACGCGTGGGACCTCCGTGCCTGGCGGGCTGCGGCCGCGACCCGGCCCCGCCCCGTGAGGTCCGGCCGCCGGAAGCGCCGCGAAGAGGCGGGGCCGCGCCGGAAGCGCCTAGCGTCTCGGGCACACTGGTGCGGGACAAAGCCGCTTGGGGCCTCTGCGCCCGGCGGACAGCGGATGCGACCCGGTCCCGCCCCGTGAGGTCCGGCCGCAGGAAGCGCCGCGACAAGGCGGGGTCGCGCCGGAAAGGCGCCGGCCCGCCCTCCTGCCCGCGGGGTCGCCGGGGGCTGGGGTCCGCTTGCTTCCTAAAGGTCTTTCGAGGTGGGGACGCAGGCCAGGTTCCGATGAAAATGCCAAAGTCCTAAAGCCCCAGTTCAGATGGGAGTTCCCCGCATGCCCCCATAGAGATAATGGCCACCTCGGGGCTAAGGTAGGAGAGACAAGTGTGACAGGTTGAGGGGGCGAATTTAGGGAGAGTGTTCAGAAACCCAGAGCAGTCAGGCCACACGCCGGGCAGGGGTACCAGAAAATACTCTACTGAGCTTGTAGGCATCGCGCTGAGTCTTTACGTATTTCCTTCACACACTTCCAAGTGGCAGGTAACTCCATATAAAAGGTGAGGAAATTCAAATCAGTTTTGAAAGAGAAATTGCATTTGAAGGAATAAACCTTGATTATTCTCAGTACAGAGGTGTTAATAAGAAAGACAGGCTCAGAAAACACTAAGGCTAGTGATCATTACCACTTCGGATATCTCTTACTGCAGTTAAGAAAACCCCATGGCTCAGCCAGGTGGGAAATTCCCCCAACAGACAAGGCAGCAAGCTATTGCTGCATAACGAACTGTCTCAAACATTAGTGGTTTAAAACAGTGATTTATTATCTCTAACAATTATGTGGGCAAGTTGGGTGATTGCTCTGCTGGTGTCACCTAGGCTTATTCATACAGCTTCTTTCAGTAAGGGTTGGCTGAACTGGGCAGTCCAAGATGGCCTTATTCACATTTTGGCACTTGGTGCTGGCTGGCTGCTGGGGCACCTCAGTTTCGTCCTAGCCTCCTCCAAAGCAGCGCTTCAGCCACACTCTAATTGGTCTAAACAACAACAAAAGCAGCCCAGAGCTATGGCGTGGGGTAATGGACCTCACCTTTTGGGAGCCCAAAGAATTTCTGATCATCTTTTTCAATCTTTCGCAGAAATCAGTCTCCTTCAGTTAGAATAGAAATTACTAAGACTTGCCTCTTGGAGTTAGAAGCTTTCAATGTTCACAGTTTGGTGATGCTGATATGGCAAATGACCAGGGCTTCATAGAAAGTTACAATAAAGACACAGTGACTCCTCATTTATTGTTAAACCTTTGACTGAAGTCACTGAGTTTATCTTTACTTCTTGTATTATACGGGTGTGAATGGATTCTGTTCAGAGTTAATTGTAGTAGGGATTTTCCTACTTACCATTCTAAATAGCTACACAATATTTTCTGCTTATATGGCTTCTTTCTAAATTCTGTTTCTCTGAAATCTGAGATGGTACAGATCAGATTTTTTTCCCTGATTAAATGGTTATAATTTTTTTTTTTTTTTTTTTTTT